GTTTTATAAAAATGCTGGTAATAAATCGCTGTTCTTAGAGTTTTCCCTTGTAGTGAATGGAATGAATTCAACATCATAACTCATAAGAAGGGAGATTGAAGGAGCCTATCCCGGAAATGGGAATCTAGAGTTGGGGATGGATCCCTTTTGTGTAGATGGCAGTAAAAAGGCCAGACATTGTCTATAGATTATTTGTAGCAGCGTAGTCTAATCTAAGGAAACCAGAACCACTAAGAAGATGCATAAATAGACTTCATTTATTAAAAGAAACCAATAGTCTTAAATTCATATTAATATAATACAACAATGATCCCCATTCAGGATGCTGCTCTTTCAACATTGAACAAGAAAAAGTAGGGAAAAGAAAAAACCAACCATAGGATTTCAGGAAAGAAACTCATGAAAAAATGCAGAACGAACTCACGAACAACGAACAATGCTCCGTTTGCTCATGCTTGCCAATTTTTTTTTTTTTTTTGGTAGATCTTATAAGTGGAAAAAAAGAAGTGCAGCTGCCTGCAGCTTATTTCGAGATCATCGCTGTGGAGCAGAGAACACAGGGGTGAAAATTTTTAATTATTTATATACATTATCGTGATTAAAAAAGATCATAAATAGCATAGTTTGGCTGCAGAAACTCACCTAACAGCATCTGCCAGGTTGCTGGCTGGTTTTTTCTCTTTTTATTTCTGCGGCTATACCATCCCACAAACTTCTGTTGGCATACCTCTACCTTTTACACTGGCCACAATGGTTTTCCTGTTGTGAACACAATGTATCCAAGACATAGTCCCAACAGCAGTCCACAACCAGAACCCATCAATGCAAGTTTCCAATCAAATAATGCTGCAGATTCATCTTCTTCTTCATCAAATTGGAAGAAGGTGATTCTGGTTCTTTGTCACCTTGCATTTCATTGTCAATGGAATTCCACACAATCCTAAGTTTCCAATGTAGCAATCTTTAGAAAAAGTATCGAACTACTTCCCTTGTAGAGTGTGAATCAAAAGTTCCTTGTATGAAAAGTTCAAAACCAAAAAGAATGTCAGACTTGTCAACTGCTCAGGAATCCTGCCATCAAGCTTGTTTAACAAGAGATCTACAGATTCAAGTTTTGCCCATTTCTCCAAAGATGATGGAATTTAACCTGTGAGACTGTTGCAAGGGAAGTTAAGTACTAGAAGCGAACTGAGTTCAACCCGCTCTTCAGGAATCTGTCCATGGAATCTACAGCTTGAGAGATCAATGATTGTGAAAACTGTTAAGATTCTTACAAGCTCCACCTCTCTGTCTTTTATTGTCACTATCACAGAATTCTCATACTAAGTCTATCATTGAGGTTTTTCTTTTGACTTTTGACAAAATGGCTTCCACCGAGGACCTTCTTCTATCTTCTGAAAGTCTAACCGATGAGATTAAATTTACTTAATCAGATAGCAGTATAATAGAAAATGAGAATGGGCAGATCTACAAAATCATTCAACCTTGTCACAATCTAACATGAAATAGCTGCACGTTATATTGCAAAACCCAACAAACTTACGTCAAAGCTATGATCACTACATCATCTTCAATGGTGGCTACACAGTAGTAACTAGTAACATTGACCTGACCGCCAATGTACCACTAAGTGGTGATAAGGTGAGTTTTCCACCCTTTCCAGGGTGATCCTTCAAACATGTAAAAGGTGAAGCTGTAATGAAATCAATAAAACATTCAAATAAGATTCCAGAAGACTAAAAGGAGAAAGCTAATCTCATATGCTAAATTGCATGTAAAATTCAAAATGCAACAGCTACCGTAACAATTAACTAATACACAAACAACCCATGAACAGAAACAAGTAAGGCCTACCTAAAATACTTTCCCTATTTCTATTACAATTTAACCATATCTCGATAACAATAAGGACTTCTAATGGTTACTACAGGTCCATACTTATAAAAGCATTGATAGGAAATGTAGCCAGCTAAAAAAATGAGAAACACCACAAATATAACTTATAGACTTATAGTAAATTGAGGTTGTTCAAAAAAGGTCATTATGATATTAGTGAAGTACAAAGAGAAACAAAGATTAGCTATAGGAATTTAATCTTCAGACATTGTTTCTATTTTCTTGATGAAACAATTTATATTCTTGATAAAAGAGTTATACCTTTCAACTTTCAAGAGCCCTCAGTCTTAGACTCCTAGTTACAAGATAAATGTATAAATTCTTGTTGTGATCTAATATGAAATGAGCTGCATATTATATTATTACAAAACACAACAAACTTACCTGAAAGCTAAGATCACAGCATCATCTCTTATGGTGATTGCACAAACTGCCAAACAATTAAAGTAGCTGAATTCAAACACCAGAATAAAATAAATTCAGAAAGTTTTCACTATTCATTGGAAAAGAAAAAGCAGAAAAACTAAAAATGAAACAGGGAAATAACACTTTTGTATTATTAAATTATGTTTTTTTTTAAATCATGTAGCCAATAATTACTCAAAACCTTAGACCATTTGAAGCACTTTCATAGAATCCATCCGCAAGCAGCAGGCTAATTATATAAGAAATCACCTCGGGTTCCACTAATGGAGGAGGATTATGTCAGTGATTGCTGCAACAACACACAATAACTAAAAGCACAAGAACTAGCAACAGTAATCTAATAAAAGCACTTAGTGGGTTAACTAGTGGGGTCCCATTTCCATATTAAAACTCCCAGTCAATAAATCCAATGGGTGGAAAATTTTCATATTATATTTAAACGAAAATTGATTTCAATCTGTAGACTTCTTTCTCTAATCTAAACTTATCTTAAAGATTATGGCATACCTAGAGAATTTCCTTCTGAGGCAGTAGTGAGTGGTCATTCTTTGTTGGTTCAAAGTAAGAGAAACTACACCCAGACAACCTCTGTTGATTAGCATCTCCAAGAACATGCAGCTTGAGTCATTATATCCTTAAAAGAGTAAGTGAAATCCATTATTCAGTTAAGATAGCTCCATAGTTTAAAGATATTCAAAATGACATGGACTGAACAAACCTTTTGCAGTAGCATCAACAAGTGCCCAAGTGTCTAAGAGCAGCAATATATAGCCAAGTGAACTAGTTATGGTAGACAATGTATCACTCTGTGACAAGGTGAGTTTTCCCCATGTTTGCAGTGATCCGCCAAAAAAGTCAAAGGAGAAACTGTGATGAAATCAATAAAACATTCAAGAGGCTTTCAAAAAGAACAAATAAGAAATAAGACAGCTAAAAGAAGAGTGTTAATCCCATAAAGGCTAAATGGCAAATAAAATTTAAAAAGCAATTGCATCTAGGATGAAAAGACAACAACACACAGTATCACAATCACCTTGGATGCCTAAATATAACAGAAACGCATAAGACTTGCATTAACTACTTTTACAATTTCCATTACACTTTAATTAACCGAATCTGAAAATAATAAAAAAATATCTATTAGTTAATCTAGGCCCAAAGTAATACAAAGTTTTGGTGAGTGCACAGAGCAAAATGAGAAAGAAAAAAGCAAGAAACCGGGCCTAGTACATAATACAACGCAGCTAGCAAAAAAGTTAGAAATGCCGCAAATAGAACTAATAGTAAATTGAGGTTGCTAAACAAATTCAAGTGCTTGACCTTAATGATCAGACTGTTAAATAGAGCTTACAATAAATTCAGGTTGTTACACAATTTTCTTAATGGAACAGTTTACATTCTTCATAAATGAATTGCCTTCCCTTAAGGAATGTGACATAAAATGAAAAATATCCATCAAACACAACTTTCTTTATCTTAGCTTCTCATCAAATACAAGAAATAATTCATAAGACAATGCAATATTAATGGCAATAAAAGGTAAAGACATTTTTCATGTTTCAATTCAAGAATAGCTCTCAGCCTTTGACTGTAAAATAAGTACCTGAATATCAGAGCCATCAAAACAAGTAATTACTTCAACCATCACAACAGAAACCTTTCCTGAGGATGTCATCTTGGGTCGTCTCTCTCTCTTAGCTCCATAGACTCAATTTTAGGATGCTCGCAGGATATACCATTTGTAAGAAAAATATCCATTGATGAGTTCACAAAAAGAATAACAAAGATTATAATTGTAATTTATCTTAGCAAAATAAGATTAAATTGAATGATCTCTACTCTATGTGGTGTGACCTACACTGACTAGAAATGAATACAGTGCATACACCTCATAATTGAAATGAAAGTTTACAAATGAGACCTAGAACTTACACATGTTAATGCTAGAAACATCTTATCTCAACCTTGGCATATGCAGCATAAAAATATCTAAAACTTTTAAGTAGTAAAGGCAAATACATTAATTTATTCCACCCAGAGAAAATTACAACTTTCCCCTCTTAAAACAGAAATTGATATATCCAGACAGAAGGAAAACACCAAGGAAAATTACCTACCTATGAACCAGACCACCAGCCAAAGAATAAGATTTGAGTTTGGTGATGGCTAGAAGGTGGGCCTCCAGAGAGCAAAGGAGGTTGGGATCATCCTTCACCCAGCCCCCCTAAGTAATAATCCTCACTGAAATTACTTAGCTGTCATCTAAGATTCGTCAGATGCACCTTTGCTTCCACACCGTTTGTGGGAAAAGGAGATGTTTGGGGGTCCAAAAATTAAACAATTTTACCTTTTACTTCAATAAAATGCATCGTTCAAAGACAGCCAAAACAAAGAAAGAGAGAAGAAAATATGCAGAGGTAAATAACATCAAAAAGAAACAAATTACACCAAAAAAAATACAGAAGCAACTACTTTCAGAGCAAATAGAAATACAAAAGACATGAACACAAATTCATACATAACCATAATTCCCACACAAGTCAATACAACTACATATCAACAATGAACATGAAAAAGATGGAAACAAGCTCAAGAAGCAACTGTTGCCAGATCTGCCCGGAAGTAGGAAATCAACGGCACCAGCTTGCACCTATATAAAATAAAGCAAAAGTAGAAAAATTAAGAGTCACTATTATATAACATGCCTTGATTTTTATGGTTAGAACTTATATAGAACACAAATATTATAGAGAGTTGTAGAAACTTGCTCACTTAAAAGCATTGGTTGGGTTTTTGGATTCTTCTCTGCTTATAACTTTGGTTGCACCTTCCAACTAATTTTTGTTGATATTTCTCCACTTTCTTCACTACCCACCATGGTTTTCCTGTAGTGAAGGCAATGTATCCCAGACTAAGTCCTAACACTAGTCCACACCCATAGCCTGCCAATGCAAACTTCCACTCAAAGACTACTATAGAGTCATCTTCTTCATAAAATTGTGATGAAGGTGGTCTTGGTTCTTTGCATTTCTTTGTCAATGGGAATCCACACAACCCAAAGTTTCCAATGTAGGAATCATTTGAGAAAGTACTAAACTGCTTCCCTTCAGGTATGTGGCCCACAAGTTCATTGTGTGAAAGATTCAAAACTGATAGAAACGTCAGCTTTGTCAATTGCTCTGGAATCCTGCCTTCTAGCTTGTTTGAGGAGAGATCTAATGATTCAAGTTCTACTAATTTCCCCAATGATGATGGAATTTGACCACTGAGACTATTGTGAGATAAGTTTAGCAATAAAAGTGAATTGAGTTCTCCCAGCTCTTCAGGAATCGGTCCATGAAATTGATTGCCCGAGAAATCTATAGTTGTGAAAATTTTCAAGATCCTTGCAAGCTCCCTCTCTGTCCCTTTCATTATTACCTTCACAGAATCCTTATAAATGATGTTAAAGCCCATGCAACTTTCTTTTGTACATCTGCCATTGTCATCATCAATGTATTTCGAATTGACTTTATCAGTTGGATCTACATCTCTCATACCTTTCAAAATTTTGAAATAGTTACCCGGTAAGAGACCCATAAAATCATTCTGTGCGACATCAATGATTCTCAACTGAGGGAAGTAAAATGCAGGCACAGAATTGCTAATGACACCATGAAATTGATTAGACCGAAGGATGAGAACCTTTAGCAATGGAAGAACACCTAACCAATGTGGAAAGGTATCATTCAAGTTGTTGTTCCCCACATCTAGAATTTCCAAGTAACTGCAATTAACCAAAGACCGTGGCAGTATCCCTTCCAACTGGTTGTCATTTAGGCTGAGAGTTAACAAGAGACTGTTGTTGACAAATAAATTTGGAATCCTACCATGGAACTTATTCATCCGCAGATCTAAGATGAGGAGATTACTCAAGTTTGTAAGACATTCTGGAATTTTTCCTCCCAACCTATTATTTGCTAAGACTAGAACTTGCAAATAAGTAAAATTACAATAAAAAGAAGGGATTTCGCCAGTCAAATTATTCTCTGAAATGAGGAGTTGTGCCATATAATCCCTAGTTGTTGATAGAATGGGAAGTGATCCTTGTAGTAAGTTGGATCTAAGGTCAACATCTTGAAGATTTCCAAAACCAAATGAATCTATACCAGTCAAGAAGTTATAAGAAAGGTTTAATGTACCCAATGACATCCCTTCTATTTCCCATTTGTGAATTTGACCAGAAATCTTGTTATTGGAAATATCCAATTCTTGCAATTTCTCTGCCTTCCTTAAGAAACTGGGGAACTTGTGTATGTTGCAAGAAGAGAATTTTAAAGACAAGAGGTTCGGAAAGGAATAGTTGACAGCAGTGCCATTATTGCTCAAAGACAGCAAACTGTTATGGGAAAGATCAAGATCCTCAAGGTCTACAAGCTTCGAAAGCATGTCGGGTGTAATGGTGCCAGTTAAGTTATTTGAAGAAAGGTTGACTACAGTAAGATGCACAAGATCAAAGAAGGAGCTAGGAATGGAACCATTTATCTCATTATTGGACAAATGGACTTCTTTTAAAATGAGACTGGGCATCTCAACATGATCAATAGGTCCAGTAAGGCTGTTGTTTTGGAGGTCTAAATAGGATAAAGAAGGCAGAGAAAACAACCAAGATGGTACACGACCTAACAGCTTATTTGATGATAGTGACAAAAAAGTAAGATGGGTGAGGTTGAAGATTGATGCAGGAATTTCACCACCAAAATTGTTTTCATCTAATTTCAAATCAGTTAGCTTGTGCATTTTTCCAAAAACATTTGGTATTTGCCCTCGCAAATGGTTGGAAGAAAAATCTAGGTGAGTTATCTCTGTAAGATTTGCAAGAGATCCAGGAATTGATCCATAAAATTGACATTGATAGAGATACAATTCCTTAAGGAGTTTAAGATTTCCGATTGAATGAGGCAGCTCTCCTGAGAAGGTTGTGTATGAAAGATACAAATACTCGAGGGTACTACTCTGGTTTGACTCGGGCAAATTACCCCCTAATTGAGAGTTTCTGCTTAAATCAAGAAGCCGGAGAGATGGAAGCTGAAAAACTTGGTTTGGAAAGTTTCCTTGCAAATTACAATAGCTAAGGCTCAAATATTCTAAAGAGGAAGTCAAGTTTAGCAAGGACAAAGGCACAACCAGAGACATATTCACAAAATCAAGGATAAGAAACCTTAATTCTGTTAAATTATGCACAAGCATTTGAAACTTTATGTTGTCAAGAAGCAAACCATCATTAAAAGAGAGATCGAGTGAAACCAATTTCGTTAGCTGAACAACTAGGCTTGGAAAGTTTCCTTGCAAATTACAATTGCTAAGGCTCAAATGCTCCAAGGAAGAAGTCAAGTTTAGCAAGGAAGAAGGCACAACCAGAGACATATTCATAGAATCAAGGATAAGAAACCTTAATTCTGTTAAGTTATGCACAAGCATTTGAAACTTTATGTTGTCAAGAAGCAAATCATCATTACCAGAGAGATCGAGTGAAACCAATTTCGTTAGCTGAAAAACTTGGTTTGGAAAGTTTCCTTGCAAATTACAAGACCTAAGGCTCAGATGCTCCAAGGAAGAAGTCAAGTTTAGCAAGGAAGAAGGCACAACCAGAGACATATTCACAGTATCAAGGATAAGAAACCTTAATTCTGTTAAGTTATGCACAAGCATTTGAAACTTTATGTTGTCAAGAAGCAAACCATCATTACCAGAGAGATCGAGTGAAACCAATTTCGGTAGCAAGAAGATCTCATCAAATAGGAGAGAGCCATACATGTATCCTGAAGCTGCAAAGTTAAAGATTTGTCACATTAGAAGAAGTGAAACCAGTTTTGGAAGCATGGAGATTTTAAACAAAAGAAAAAGAAATGAAATTTTCGTACATTCAAGATTAAGATCTGTCAAACTCTTCCAACGGTTGAGCCCAAATGAGCTGTTAGGATAATGAAAATAATTGCCAGAAAGGTTGAGGCTCTGCAATTTCTCAAGGCGGAAGAGACTACTATTTGCAGTTAGATTGGCTTTAAGACAATTCCAGCTAAGATCAAGGCCAATCACGTGACCTTTCACCTTGTCGCATGTGATGCCCTTCCACAAGCAGCAGTCTTTACTCTCGTCCCAAGTTTGTATTATATGACTAGGATCATCACAGTATTCCGTCAAATTAGTAGTAGTGCTTTTGAAATCAAGCAATGCAGAACGCTCTTCAGGACGGCACAAATGTGGTGATGAATGGGGAGAAGATTGAGAAGGTGAGGCGCTTTGGACTCGAAACCGTAACAACATGAAGGAAAGGCAGAGGATTTGGGAAAACCTTATTAAGCTTGCCATTTTCTTAAAGATGAACACAATTCAGCAAACAAAGGAGTGATGGATTATTCAAAATTGAAGTGCTGGACACCAGTATTTATTGTCTTCCCAAAAGTGAAAGTCCTTCAACTTTTTCTTCTTTTTTTGAGTTACATGTAAATTTTCAAAAATTTTTTTTTTTTGATCTTTTTATAAAAAAATAATGTTCACACAATTAATCTTTTTTATATATTTTAATAAAACTGCAATAGTGGTACATATATTTAATATTTTAATAATAATTAAAATTTAAACTAAAATACTATTATACTAAAATTTTTCATTTTTATTTTTAAATTGTTTCTATTAAAAAAATTATTTTTGATTGTACACATAATTAAACTTTTTTATGGTTAGTACACATAATTATTGGTCTTAAATGAA